GCACTATACAGCCATTCCCTGTACCTCTCCATTCACTGCTTAAGCCTGTGCCGTCTGCTCTTGCTCCATCCTCCTGGGCACGGGCTGCCTAGAAAGCTCGCCGGCCCTCACCTTGTCTGAGCCTCTGCCTTGCTGAGAGGGGCTTCTCACAGGTCCCCTGCCGGCCTCCTTTCATGGCCTCTCCGTTTCCATCCCCATCTCTCCTCACGAGGGACCTGTTATTGGTCACCTTCTCCTGAAGTCTGCTTGCCTGGGTGGCGTTGCTCATATCCCACTGTCAGAGCTAACCAGGACCTAACTTCCCCCACAGCCTGTGACACGAGCGCCCCAGGGTCGCAATCCAGGCCTCCTTATCCCACGCCCGGCCTCCTCGCTCCAGCCCTCACAACCCCGGCAGGGCTTTGTAGGAAACAGAAAAGCTGTAAGGCGAAGTCTCAGAGTGCTGTACTCCTCTCTGGGTAGCAGGGAGGACACACTGGAGAACAATCATTCTATCTGACTCCCTACAATTCCACTCTACACTCTGAGCACGGAGTTGTTACTGCTTTCCTTAGAAGCCTTCAGTGACATAGTGAGGTAGAAACTGAAACTCGAATTTCTCACTAAAATTAAAATGAGAGCTAGTTCTTGCTGACTAGCTTTCAGAAAGCCAAGCACTGCCACATTTGAGGGATGCAGCACCACACAGCTGAGGGGATGAGATGTGTGTAGCACTCAGCCTGGTCTGAACCCTCCCCTGACCGTCCTGCAGCCAACTACGGCCTCGGTGAGCTGTTTAATCTCACTAAACATTAGTTTTATCTATAAAAGTAGAATAGGGGCGGATGCCGTGGCATAGCACATAAGGCCAATGCCTGCAGCACCAGCGTCCCAGATGGGCTGCTTCTGCTCCAGCTTCCGAACTGATGTTCCTGGGAGAGCAGTGGAGGATGGCCCAAGTCCCTGAGCTCCTGCACCCACATGGGAGACCCAGAAGTCCCGGGCTCCTGGTTTTGCACCAACCCAGCTCTGACCACTGTAGCCATCTGGGGAGTGAAGCAACACATGGAAGCTCTCTGTCTCTCCTTCTCCCTTGCTGGAACAATGCATTTCAAATAAATATCTTAACAAAATAAAATTAGTACAGCAGTAACTTGGTAAGGTTGTGGGGCAGTTGACACTATCTGGCCCTCAGCCTAGCCTCAAGCAAAGGTTATCTATAATTGTTTATTTCTTAAAGAAAGGTGCTGCTGGAATTCACCCAGAGTCCAGCAAGCAGAGTGGACCTGTTGCCCAGACGAAGGGAAGAGCTCCCCAGAAAGCAGGGCCTTTTCTTGGGGCAGTTTCAGTTAGCTAGCAGTCAACACACTCAGATTGTGAACACTTTGGGGTTTCTGACTAGGGTAGAGTGAATCTGTAACTGGACCCTAGGAATTGTTAAGTTTCACGTTCCTAAAATGCAGATAGGAACATCTGAAACAGCCAGAGCAGCACAGCGGGTGCTGTAAAATGATTTCATGTTTGTTCCACTTCATCAAGTTAAGTCGTCAAGTGAATAGAGGTGTATATGACATGGGCTCAGTGTGCATTTTCGCACACACTGCTGGTGACTTCAGCGCAAGTGCTGTGAGCCGCAGGCACCTGTGCTCCAGAGCGAGTGCGTGTCTGAGCAGGAATGGGATTCAAATCACACCCCCATCAGTTAGGATCCTGGGCCCATCTCTCTGCCTCAGTACTGTACTCTGTGACCCGAGGCCGCACTCTGGAGATCACTCTATATCCACAGCTCAGTGCTGTGCTCGGGCTGTGGAATGGAGGGGCTGCGTAGCTGCTATCAGCACTATTGTAAATGTGTACCCTTAAATTCAGAGCATGTGTAAAAACGGGCCCCTCTAGAGAGGCCTGCTGATAAAATCAATGATACATCAGCATCCACTATTTTGACTAGCAATTGGTTGTAATTCATAAAACTAAGAAACACTGTGAGGCTAGTTACAAATGCAGTCACATCTCGAGTGTACGAACCACTAAGGGCTTAATTTTTATCTCCTTTTTTTTCCTTCCTACTTTCATTCTTTCTTATATACATTATATTATTTATTTACTTGAAAGGCAGATTTTTACAGAGAGACACACAGAGAGAAGGTCTTTCATCTGTTCACTCCTCAAATTGCTGCAACAGCCAGTGCTAGGCTGCTCTGAGTTTCCCACATGGGTACAGGGGCTAAGGACTTGAGGCATCCTGGGCTGCATTCACAGGCCATAAGCAGGGAGCTGAATTGGAAGTGGAGCAGCTGGGACTTGAACCAGTGGCCATCTGGGATACCGGCATTGCAGGCAGTGGCTTTACCTGCTATGCCACAGCAAAAGCCCTTCAATTTTCACTTTAAATGCACACAAGATCAACTGTAATCAAATGTTCACATGATGTCTGTGCGCAAGATGAGCAGGTGTCTGGTTCACGTCTTCAAGAACAAAAGCTTGGAAAGAGAAACGAACATTCCCGGCAACCCAGAACTACATACTACACAGGTGCAGAGCCAAGACCAGGACACAGCTGTGTAGAGCCAGCCTGCGCCAAGTGACTCACTCTTTGAAACCCTGTTTCTCATTTCCTCCTTGGTCATGCTCGGAGGGAGCCTGTTTTTCCCTACTCCATCTTCGGGAGATGGCATCTGGCAGGTGCAGCCCCTCGCCCCGAGTCTCTGCAACATTCCCCGAGGACAACGTGAGATCAAGCACCTCGTCGCCCGGCCCCCACTCTCGGTTCAGCCTCTGCACTCCTGAGGGCACTTCCTTACACCGTGCCATGGAGACTGGCCCCCAGCCCTTCCCCGCTCCTGGAACGGCAGCCCCGGGCGGACAGGCCGAGGACTCTCAGGACCAGAGCACAGCCAACTGTCTCCATCCTTCTTTGCCGGTGTTGACCCTAACCCTCTGAAGAAACATCCTGCCCACTGCTCCATGGCCAGTTTCTCAGGAAACCCCAAGTGGGACAATCTAGAATCATTCGGCCACTTCTTCCCCATCATTGCAAGCTAAGCCCATGGTACGTGGGTGGGGCCATGTCTGTCTGCACTCCTCAAGCAGCATGGCAACAACCCCCGCCCCCCCCCCCCAGTTTGTGGTGTGGCTTGCAGCAGCAAATGTCCTGAGGCTTCCTGCTGACTGCTGCTGTCCGAAGCTCCTAGAAGACACTTCACCCAGATAGTGCAGGTCAACCACCTGACATGGCCTCCTGACCCAACCAGAGTAAACCAGGAAAGGTATACTCTAAAATAATGAGAAAAAGTATAGCTGGGTGGGGGTGGGGACGGAGTGCTAGTTGTGGCACTGTAGGTTAAGTTGCTGCCTGAGACACTAACACATCACCTGTGTTCTGCTTCTAGTTCTAGTGGCTCCACTTGTGACCCCGCTTCCTGCTGAGGTGTCTGGGAGAGCAGCTGTACATGGCCCACATACCTGGGCCCCTGGGAGACTGGGATGGCACGTCTGGCACTCGGCTTTGGTCTGGCCCAGTCCCTGGGCACTGCAGTCATTTAGGAAATAAACCACCAGGTGGGTGGAAGAAATGTCTTGCTATAACTCTACCTTTCCAATTTCATATATGGTAACACAGTCACTTCCTGTCAAGTGTGAAGTAGCACACGACATTGTATGTGCTACACCTGTCCCTGCCAGGCAGCCCAGCGGTCTGCTTACACTAGCAGCAACACGTGCCAGGTACCGCAAGGTGCAGGAGAGCTCCTGCAAGGAGCTTCCCACGTCTCCTTTCAGACCCTCTCGGGGTCACCCGCATGTGCGGTGCACGGAGACCCCATGGGTCCTAGCCAGGGAAGGACAGAGCCACACGAAGCATCTGCCGCACCCGGCTCAGGAGGTGGCGTGGACCCTCGAGGGGTGAAGGTGGAGGAGTGAGGGCGAAGCCCCGGGGTGCAGCGCGCACACACACGGGTGGACCCCGAGCAGGAGGCGGCGCAGCCGCCAGGTCCTCCCCGTCCCCGCCCCCAAACATCCTTCAGGGACACCGGCGACCTCTGGGGAGGCCACAGCACGCGGCCTCCCCACTCCTGGGCCGTGGCCGCCCGGCGCCCAGCGTGCTCACCTGCCCACCAGCCGCTGGCCTCCCCGGGCGGACACGCCGCCAGCAGGGCCCCCAAAGCCGAACCGCCCTCCGCAGCCGCCGCTCCGGGCTCCGCGCAACCTTTGCCCCGCGCTCGGCTGCGGCGCATGCGCGGCTCAGCGGCGGACTCCCAACCAGCTCCGCTTCCGCCCGTCCCTGTTTTCAGGGAAGTTCTAGCCAACTAAAGTTCCCGGCGGTCACCGGCCAGGACAGTGTCTATCCGGAAGCCGAGTTTACTTGGTGTTAGTCTTAGAATGGAAATTATTCAGACTTCAGGAACGTATCACGAGCGCACCTCTGCCTACTGTGTACGCTCAGCGAGTGTTTGTGGGATAAATGAGAGGAGGTCGGCCTCCCAGTCTGGACCAATCCCAGAGCGCGGAAAGCTGTCGTTCAGCGCCAAGGCCCGCCTCTACATCTGGCTGCCGCCGAATCAGGGAGGAACGGAGTTGTCAGAGCGGCCTGCATCCGGTCCGAGGGCGGACATGCGCAGGGGGAGTCGGCACTGAGCAGCCTTCACTTTCCGACCTTCTTTAGACTCTTCGCGTCACAGATACTGTCCATATTTGGTTCAGTAATCTTTCCGTATCGGAAAAGTAGGTTTAGATCTTTCTGTCTAGTTCTCCGGCTGGTAACCGTGATCTGTCATCTGCCAATCACGTTGCTCGCGTGCCAAATCCTTCAACGCCATTTTTGTTTTGGTCCCCGAAAACCGCCATGTTTCTTTAGGGCATGGTCCTCGCAGACTTACGGCTTCGCCTACGGCTTTGCCGCCATCTTAGATCCTGGCAAAGCTTCAAGCCGCCTGCGAAGCGGTCCCCATCATCTTGCATTCGGGCGGTAGCTGTGCTCTTAAATGCGCGAGGAGACCCTGGGAAAAGGGAAATGAGCACGAAATTTGAAATCGCGGAGCTGCCGCAGTTTGACCGGAGAGCTTGCTGCCTGTAGTTTGAATTTCCCCAGCCCAGTACTTCTCCACCAGTGACCCTGGACAGTCCCAAAATACAAATGCTGCTGGCAGCGTAGGTAAGCACATGGAGCTAAGTGCCGCCTGAGGTGTGCTTTCACTTGAATCCAGCTGTCGATCCACCCTCCTCCCCCTGTTTTAGCCTCCTCCGAGTTCTCCCCGCGCTTCCACCTCTCGGTGTTTTGGAAGGACTAAGAAGGTGTGTTGTACGTCTGGGTACGCAACGCCTGAACGGTCAAGTGGAAATGTGCAGAAGTTTTTTCTTTCTTTAGGGTCTTTTTTGGAGCACACGGGATGGGCCAGGGGTTTGTTTTAAATGACGGTTGCCTGCAATCGTGCCCGTGCAAATGAAGTGTTCTTCCCAGACGTTTTTGCGATTCATTTATCTATCCAGTTTGTTTGTTGAGTGTGTCCAGCTGGAAAAACCCTAGGGGGCATGGAGCTTCTCTGATGTCGATAGTGCGATAATTGGGTGTTCTGTGCTTGTTAGCACTGCAGGTTTAAGTTGCTTTCTCCCTTGGCTAACCAACCCTCCCACACCCCACCCCCCTTTTGCCTGCACTAGAAATGTATTCTTTTGGTGTTTAGATATAACCGTATTTGGAAGCCGCTGGCCGACAGGAACTAGTGTTGAAGGTGCTACGGGCGTCTTTGCCTGGTGTGCCCTGCTGGCAGCCCCTGTGAGCTTACTGGGCTGCAGGCTTGGTCCTGCCCCAGGTGTACCGAATGAGATCCCGCCCCCGGAATTGCGCTGAGTCGGGACACCTGCCCAGGCAGCAGCGTGCCTGGGTTCTACGCGAGCTTCTTCACCAGGTTCTGTGTATTGCATGCTTTAAAGGCAGCGCATGTTTGGCATGCATTTATGTCCTGTAGGCTACCCACTTGACGTCATCCAGAAAGTGAAGTGTTTTTGCCAATCCAGTTCACGTTGATGGCCTTTTTCTGTTATGGCAATATATCCATGATAGACTTTCATCCTGGAACCCTAACAGGAGTTTACTGCTGGCTTGCATTTGGAAAAAAATAAAAAGTTGCTTGTTATACTTCGTGTGACTTGGATGTATTTTTTAATTCTTTAACGGTTGAAGTCTGAATGTGGACAAGATTGTAATAATGATTTGGGATACATTGGCAGAGGGTCACGGGATCTTTAGAGGGACTTCCCATCCTACCGTCTCTGGTTAAACAGCGATCTGAGTCGGGACTTCTTTGTTGTGTATGACTGTGTCCTGGGGAGCTTGGGGAAGCTTCCGGTCCAGGAGAGCTGCAGGCATTCTAAGCAACCTAGCCACTACAGGATACAGTACACCGATTTCATGTTTCCGCATGTTTCTGTTCTAGAATAACAGGGTTTTGAAGTCAGTGGGATGCATAACTGGATTGGGAATGAAGTGAGCCACTCTCCCAGGACCTTGGTGGCTTGCCATGGCTTCTGTCCTTAGCAAGACGCCCCATCCTTCCTGGTGCTGCTCTCCGTGTGCAGAGGAGGAGGAGGGGAAACCAAATGACTGTTGTTTCTTTGCTTTGTCTCCTCTGGATGTGGCACGTTGTGCTGCAGCCATATTCTGAGAATGTCAGAAGTATAAGTGCAGTCTTCATGGCTTCTGATTTTCACAGGCTGTGTGTGTGTGTGTAGAACACGGTGGGCAGGGAAATGAATCTAGAGCCAGACTTCTGCTTTCAAATCCTGCTCCATGCACTTAGCAGCCGCGTGACTTTGAGTCTAGAGAAGTGAAGACAAGCCAAGTGCTTGAAGCGGTGCCTGGCTCATCGGCACCACTGTCAGTGTTAAGGAATGGTCGTTACCTTTATGTTCAGCTGCGCGTGGTTTAATGTTCTGTTTGAAAGCCGCGTTTGGGGAAATCAACTGTAGTTCTTTGACTCTTTAGGATATGCACCTGTTTGACTTTGGAAATAAGGTGGTCTAGACACAGTGTATCGTGGTAGACTTTTTTTTTTTTTAAAAAAATCAACTTTAAATGCATTTGTCTTAAAATAAGTCTCAAGTCCTGGAAGCAGAGTTCGCTTTCTTTCACTGGATTTCACAGGGAAGCCACCACCGCGGGAAAGCTCCCAAGTACCTTCCTCGTGCCAAGTTCCCCCTCACCCTTTGAAATCCGTCCAGCTGCCTTCTTGCTGGCAACCACCTGCCCATCACTACGGAGAAGGTGCTGTTGTCTAGGTTTCCATCCAAGAAGAGTGTTGCAGTATGTGCTTCCTGGGGAAGAAGGAGGAATCTGGCTTCTCCCACTCCCCCTTGTTATTTCCGGTCCTGTCTGTGAATGCAAGTATCAGTGGCCTGTTCCTTTTTCATCGCTAAGTAATATTCCGGTACGTGGATGGGCTGTCATTTGTTTATACCATCCCCACTTGGTGGAAATTGGTACTTTGCTTAATTTCACAAGGCTGCTATCCACATTGCTCTGTGCCACACTTGCTTACCTTTACAAAGAGCAGCTGTTTATCTGGTGCCCAACTTTTCTGCATGCAGTGAAAGCAAGGGATGAATATAGGAAAACTGTGTTTGTGTTGGGACTTCACATGTTTACCATTATGCTATTTATGAATTAGTGTCTTATGAATGAAATATATAACTTAAATGCCAACTAGAGGCATTGATGTAGATTTAATTTTTGTAGATTTCTTTGCTTTAGATTGTTATCCCTTGATGCATGCATGTCTAATTATTTTGAGGGTTCTTTCAAGTTTTATTTGTATATTACTTTTCAGTGCCTCATTTTTATCCTGTGGTGTTGACATTCTGTACTTGATTAATCAGAGATGTTTTAAGCTTGGACATGAGTTGGGCCAGTGTTATGGCTTAGAGGGCAGAGCCACCCCACCTGCAGTGCCCACATGTGGGCAACAGTTGGAATTCCTGGCTTCAGCTCTGGGCTAATATGCTGGGAAAAGCAGCAGAAAATGGTCCAAGGCCTTGGGACCCTGCTGGCTATGTATGAGACCCAGAAGGAGCACGTGGCTGCTGGCTGCCCGGTTCCTGCTGTGGTGACCTTCTGGGGAGAGAGCCAGCAGGTGGAGGATCTCTATCGGTCTGTCTCTCTCTGTGTAACCCTGCCTTTCAAATAAATAAATCTTTTAAACAAGCTTGGATATGACTCATGTTATACAATAACATAAAATATAGCTCATATAGCATCTTGAATGTAAAAGTTGGTTGTGTCACTGTTTTGATTTATTCTTTAGTTTAAATAGATTGAAGGGGTTTTTTTGGCAATCGAAAAACATTTTTGTTTAAAGATTTTTTTTTAAGTGAAAGGCAGATTTAGAGATAAGGAGAAACACAGAAATATCTTACGTCTGCTAGTTCACTCCACAAGTGGCTGCAACAGTTAATCTGAAGCCAGGAAGCAGGAGCTTCTTCCGGGTCTCCCACACAGGTGCAGGGTCCCAAAGCTTTGTGCTTTTACTGTGTTCTTAAGCACAAACAGGGAGCTGGGTGGGAAGTGGAGCAGCCAGGACACGAATTGGCATTCATATGGAATCCGGCTCTTGCAAGGTGAGTATTTAACCACTAGGCCATTTTGCCAGACTCGGTTGGAAATCATTTTTTTAAAAACATTTATTTTATTTTTATTGCAAAGTCAGATATACAGAGAGGAGGAGAGACAGAGAGGAAGATCTTCTGTCTGTTCATTCACTCCCCAGGTGGCCACAACAGCCAGAGCTGAGCCAACCCAAAGGCAAGAATCAGGAACTACTTCCGGGTCTCCTATATGAGTGCAGGGTCCCAAGGCTTTGGGCCATCCTCGACTGCTTTCCCAGGCTATGAGCAGGGAGCTGGATGGGAAGCGGGGCTGCTGGGATTAGAACCGGTACCCATATGGGATCCTGATGCATGCAAGGCAAGTTCTTTAGCCGCTAGGCTGCTGTGCCGGGCCCAGTTGGAAAACATTTTTAACTGTCATTCAGTAAAATTTACTTTTAGTGTTGAGTTTCATGATTTCTAACTAGTGCACTGAGTCCCGTGACCACCACTGAAGGTAAGAATGAGCCTTTCTTCTCACTTCCCTCTGGTAAATGCCTTCTTACTGAGACATCATGGTCACACCTGTCACCTCTCCACGCTTAGCAACCAGGGATCTTAAATGTTCGATGGTTGCCTTAATGATAATCGGAAGGGTGTGTTTTCCCAGGGTGAGGGTGACTGCAACACTGTATTCGTTAGAGTGGCTCTTACATCAAGAAGCCGAAGGATGCTGGGCTGTCTGCCGTGCCCTCTGTAAGGAGCACCTGCTGGTGTTAGCCCCACACCAAGTGATGACCCACCAGGGCTCATGCTGTCCTCCCAGGAGTCAGGAGCAACTGTGGCTCCATTCCGTTGCACAGATAAGAAAGCCAGAGATTTAGGGGAATGGAATTGCTTGGCTGGGGTCACATGAGCAGTTGTGCTGTGTCTTATGGGAACTTGAGGCTATAACCCCACCACGTGTGGATGCTTGAGTCGTGATGCATCCCAGGTAGGACCTGGCAAGGATTTCCTGTGGATCCAGCGGGAAGGCAAGGCCTAAACTGATGGTCACCTGATTGGTGATTGAAGGCTAAGAAATGTTCTGTGGGATTAATCTTGATCCATGATCTCAATATTTGATCTATCTTTAATGATAAAAAGAAAAAAAGAAGAAAAGGCCTAATATTTTGCCATTTTTCTCTGTGTTGGAGTTTGTTTTACTTCATGTTTTATAAGCAGAATTTGACATTCCGTATTATCATATGACTAATAGGAAAAGCTGATGCTTTTTTTTTTTAAAGATTTATTTTTATTATTTTTTTACTGGAAAGGCGGATATACAGAGAGGAGAGACAGAGAGGAAGATCTTCCGTCCGATGATTCACTCCCCAAGTGAGCACAACGGCCAGTGCTATGCTGATCCAAAGCCAGGAGCCTCTTCCAGGTCTCCCACGCGGGTGCAGGATCCCAAAGCTTTGGGCTGTCCTCAACTGCTTTCCTGGGCCACAGGCAGGGAGCTGGAAGGGAAGCGGGGCTGCAGGGATAGAACCGGTGCCCATATGGGATCCCGGGCGTGCAAGGCGAGGACCT